GGTCACTATATCGAGAATGTCCTTATATCGAGAATTAATTTACATACGACAACTAAGCAATATAAAATTTTTGTTCTGAGATTTCTGTCGTTATAACGAGATGTCGTTATATAGCAGTGTCGTTATATCGAGACTCACTTGTACTGAGATTTTGAGGGTCTTTATTAGGCACATCACTTGTACTGAGGATGTATAGGCGATTGTTGTACTTTATGGAATGATTTGCAACAAAACGTCATTGTCATGCACACCATTTCAACTACTAATATTATCAATATATGTTCTGCTCTTTTCTTATATGAATTTATTACGTCAATTTTCTTGGGAATTGACGACATTACATTCGGAAGTCCGCGCTGTTGGCTCTCGATGGTTTAGTATGAATAAAGTGATCGTAAGCAGTTGATCATGGTATACGTGTAATTAATATGTGAGTAATATGCCGACAGTAATCGAATAGGACAAGCGGAATAACATGCATACCTTAACTTGACGCTTATACTAGTTTTACTTTACCATTTTCAGATACTCCGGTGCTATTTTCCACTCGATTGCGCAAAGCATTTTCATATATCAATTTTTCCAGTAACGGTTATAACTTCCTGTGTAATATGTCACTATCTTTAAAGAACGCGTGTTTTTTTCTAAAACCAAACGGAGTACAAGTTCAGTGCTTCGAAACTTCCTTTGAATAAGTATTGTATTCGGATGATTTAGGCTGCTTTTGAAATTAATCTCATCAAAAGAAGTCGACGTACAAACTCGAGGTTAAATAGTAATCTAGAGACGGCGTGGCGTATACAAGACTGATCAAGCATCGTGAGTATTTTAGAGTTTATGGTAATAGGCGTCCTGCATCTGGGGTTGGAATGCTCGTACGCGTTCGGAGCTAGTATTTGATTATAACCACGTAAACCCAAATAACGCATATAAACATATCCAACAATTTATTTAATATGTGACAGAAATGTTTGTCCAAAAAATCAAAATCCGTTGTGGCCGCTGATGGATTTACAAATATTATGACCGAATAGAGTATTCGACAAATGCTTTCCAGGATATTATACACGCGTTTGGCTTGCAGTGGCTAAAGAGGGAGGTAGGCGCTCGTAAGTTCTTGCTAAATAAATCAGTGTAACTTTCCGGTTTGAAATGATCAAATTTAGTGATGATACAGTATGTTTCTATTTATTCGCCGACAAACAAGAGAAACAGATACGCCCGAACAACTTTCAAGAACGGCTCGCGTTATCAATTGCCTTCGTCATGATAATGTGTTTCGGAGTACATTTGTTTCGACAAGATATCCTTATTGTAAAAAAATCTAATAGGTTTAATCCTAATGGTAATTATTACCATTCACATACTCCTCTTTTCTCTTACTGACAGGGATGAGTTGACAATATCAAGAGACTGAATTGATAAACCATTACTATCATTGATAACAAAAACCTCATGATGGTTTTCTCTTCAGTTTTGTTGATTTTGCCACATGGAGTTTGATGATAGAGTAGGAGTAGAGATGGAACATATTAGAGTATGTTGAACTTGATAAGGAAGACTAATGTTAATTATGACGTGTATTCCTCCCTAATTCTGCGTTTGACAAAGAATATTTGATCAGATGGTAACACTGCTGTAATAATATTACCGTAAACTCTCATGAATAAGAGCCCACCCTGAATAAGAACCCCCCCCCCCCCCCAACCATCACCTGTCTGTTGAGCGTATTAAACTAATTAGAGGGTATCATCGGGGACATTATTTCACTCATAAACCTTTGGCTTGTCCTAGACTTTTTTGCTGGAGCGAAATCTCCATTAAGTAGTAGTTTTTTATATTAAATTATGATATAGCGCAACCGATTGTAAAATGCCAAATGGAAATCAGAATGTCTTGGGGGGGTTTTGCCAATCGTCTATCTATCCGTTTTAAAAAATAACACAAATGTCTACCCAAATCACAAAAGAAAAAGTGTTCCTCGGGAAAGGAGTGCAAACAAGCATACCCACGTTTGTTCTAACAGCGCTACTCGATCAACAATAGAATTGCAGACCGAATGACGGCGCAGTACTGTCTTCATCTGCATTGTCAGGGAATAGGGATTTAGGTTTCTCAAATGCAAGGGGAGGGTCCCTATTCTTTTTTGATTTTTTGTTCATCTCAATTTCGAATAACTAGGACATCAAAATTACGTTAATATATTATAGAATACGAATTATTCAGAGAAAACTAGAATGTTTACCGTTGTATAGTTATTATCCAGAAAGCCCTCAAGATTGTAATTGGGTTTTGTAAATTTCTCTTGAAATATTTTAGCTAGTGTTGCTATGTTCGGATAGTAATGCTCCTGTAATGTCTGCGATATGCTATACCGTGAGTAAAAAAAATTATTGTATAACGGAAGGTCGAACGTGTGGACTTACTTTCAATTCCCATAAAGAACTATCTATTGCACCAGTCTTCATTGGATCTTGTTCGTAGAAATCGTAAGGATCCGTCCCAGTGGAGCCTAAGGCATAAACAATCGGTTGTTGTATAAACGAACGTGGAGTTTACGCGAAATTTACTCATCAAACAGATTTACTTACTTCCACAAGCATGTTTCTGCCCATCCTCATTAGCACGATGAATCAACGCCATACATGCAGGATGTTTTTTTATCAAGTTATATATCATTGGTAATATAATTATGATTCCGTGAGGAGGACTCGCAAGTGCTAACCGCGACATTCGTTTGATAAATGATGCGATTAACTGCACTGGTAAATGCCTTTGAAATAAACACGGGAGATTATCATTTAGAATATATATGTATATGATAAAACATCAATACGTGCGCACATACGTACGTTGAAGCAAGAAACAGATCAGCAAGGCGAAAGAATCGGGATTGATATTTCACGTGCATCAAATCCCTATCAAACAGACTATAAAGTTTCTTGTAAAAGTCTGGATAATCGCTACGAAAACATAAGTATACAGATTAGTAATTTGCTTTGTCAAGTTAATGATAAAAAGCATACTCACAGATTATGCTCATGAATGAGTGTAAATAATCCATTCAACGCGAGTAAACTTATTACGCCCCCTACATTGATCGAATATATTGGTATTTTAGCATACAGTTTATCTGTACCTTTCTCGTGACATTAATACAGTTTGAGACTTACCGGCATCGTATGACTGAGTTAGGAAATCCATTAGCATAGTCGGCTGAGTCATGTGTGGAATGACCTTCTTGTGCATCATGAGTAAAATTTTCTTATATGACTCTTCAGTCATTGGAAGTTTCAATAACGCCAACCAACAGTCATTAAATGCTCTCTTATGAGCCGCAAGCGTTAGAATCGCTGGAACAGATTTCTTTGATGGTTGAACGGATTTTATCCGAGGAGATTCATCTTCGATGGATGAAGATGATGACAGATATGCTGAATTGTCTTCCTCTGCTTGGTCTTTTTCTGGTTTACTTTCGAGATCTAAATATGTAACGGTTAACGTTAGGGCATGCATATTCGCGTAAATAATGCAGTAACGTAGAGGACGTACTGGGAGTTGGATGACCAGTCCAAAAGTCATCAATTTCTGATGGTTCTGTGGGCATGGTTCGTAACTTTTCCAGTATCGAAAATATATTCTCCATCAGAATATTCATATTCTGGACATCAGGCTTATCTGAAGACTTCTAATTAAACAGGAAACATTCTTTGCTTCAACAACAATTAGAGTTATATAAACTGTCGATATGTTGTTTCATGTTGCATTACCTTTAATATAGGTTCAGTGTTATCCTTCTTGTTGACGTTATCAAGAGCATTGTTTATGACCTTGCTTCACGTAGGAATGGGTGCAGATAATTAGTATAAACACTTGTTAGCGTCGACAACTGTCTTGTTAAATTATTACAACTTACACGGCGTCTTTCAGAAAATAAAATCGTAAATCATCATAAACTCCAAAATATTTCTCCACAAATTCCTTTCGCAGAGGATCGTTAAAATTATGATTGTTGAGCAATGATTCAACTACTCGATAATAATGATTATTGGCAAAGTGATGAGTTCCAGATAATGAGGTCAACTGTATAGATTCTGTCTTTAAGAGATCCAATAGAATTTTCAATGAAGAAATCTAATGAAATGCAAATAGAAATGTCAATATTCACTTCGTAAAGGATAATGACGGACGCAAAAGTCACATAAGCGACAGCCGCTCATAACTTCAACCTGTAGTTCAGAATCAGCACGTTTAAGTAGCTCGCACAGCCGATTAACAAACTTCACATAGTTATCCCTCAACCACAATGCTATGGTTGCTTTGTCGGTATCATCTTTTGACACCTTCTTTGGCCGTAACAATTCCCCTCTCGATAGTAGCGGAGTAAATATGCGATATAATGCGTGGATTGATGCGTGTATAACTTTTGGCGCTTGATGCTGGTTGCGTATTATGGAAGGGAAAATGAGCTAATCAGGCTTCATATGATATAGCATCACTTTAATAATCAGACGAGACACAACATTCACCTCTGTTAATTCGAGAAGAGTAAGTATATCATTGTAATTCGCTTTATTTTGTGCAATTCCACGTTCAAGCTCCCCAATTTTCTCGATCGTTGGTTCCGTCTCGGTATTTTCAAATGTCTAATATCAATGTCGCCAGCATTAGTCAGTATCATAACCGCGAATAAATATCCAGTTAATCAATATATATTTTGGCTTCACCTTTTTGCTTCCTTCTACAACCTTCCTTTTTTGCTGAACCATTTGAATTAATTTTCAAAATAAAAAAAGATCGCCCAAAAATTTTGACATCCGCCATGCGCATGATTATCTTGCCTATTTGGGTGAAGTCATATGCCTAAATAATAATAATAACCAAAGATCCAACGTATATTCGTTCTTTTGATTATTGATCTCAAACACTAATGACAGATCAAGACTCAGGACGCCCATTAATTGTAGGTTCCGATGCTCCCGAATCACCGTATCCTATAACGATGAAAGGTGCAGTCGTTCAAGGATTTGGACGTGGCAGTAAAGAACTTGGTATACCTACAGGTAAAGAAAGTTTGACATTTTTGAAACCCTTACATTACATAAAACGTTTCTGTTAATATGACACGCCAAAATCAGCCAATTTTCCGGAAACGACTATGGAAGAACTATGTAAAGATTTGGACACTGGAATTTACTATGGTTGGGCTCAAATAGCAGTTGATAAGACGGTTTATCCAATGGTGATGAGTCTTGGATGGAATCCTTATTACAAGAACGAGAAACGAAGTGCGGTATGTAACAAGAATATGTGTTATTCTAGTTATTATTGGTGTGTGCTCTAATGTTTTGTCTTACATGAAATAGGAGGTACACATTATCAATACATTTTCAAGTGATTTTTATGGTGTTGAACTTCGAGTTATTGTTTTAGGATTTATAAGGCCAGAAAAGGACTATAGTTCCGTAGATGCGCTGATCAAGGATATTCATATTGATATTGAAGCAGCTAAAAGATCTTTACAAAGAGAGGCATATTTAACCTTCAAGGATAACGACTTTTTTGAAAAGTAATCAAGAGACACACTTTGAAATCGTAGCAAATTATTTATTAAAATGAAGATGGGTGGATGGATAATATATCGCTGAGCAATGTATAAAGAATAAAAGTTTGAGTAATGGTTTAACCTAGTAGACTTTGTCGATATTTTCGTTCTTTAGCTGCGCCACAATATGAATATCAACAAAGGTGTCGTAAGAGGCTTTTTATATAAAATAGATTTATTTAACGGCCAAAATTCATCCAATCTATTAGGCTCGTGAGAATAATTGGAACTTATTACAGCATCACCGTACATTCCGGTAAGAGTGATACAGTTCCTAGCTATATTTTGTTCGTTCCTCACGCGTTAATTCTATAGAATGCAAACCGGAAGATACTAATACGAATTACGCAAAAATTGCGAGAAAAACAAAACCTTTGGGCAATACATTTTATTATTTAAATTCGAGATTACACAATCGATATTAGCATGGCTTTAGACAAACCACGCCAAAATCTTAACACACTTTAAAAAAAAAGGTACCAGTATCGAACAATTGAAGCGCAAGAAGACTGCATCAAGTAGAAGAATATATACAATCAAATTCTGAAGGTGTCGGAAAGGCAGTTTCTGAAAACTGACATCATGCGATTATCCAGGCACTTAATTGACTCCAACGCGTACCAACAAACAAGAAAAGTTACTAATATTCACTTGCCATAGCACGTCAGCATGAAGACTAAATGATCCCCCTTTTGGCAATGGATACGATAGCAAGAAGCGCAGGATCGCGCTTGCAGCAAGAGAAACTTCTGCCCTTGTATTAGAACGGAAGCGATTGAGAACGGTGAAGAAGGGACAAGTGCCCCTGAGATTTTATTTAGGAGTCAAATCCTATATACTTTTGTGGAGTGTCTGTTTAGTGTTAGATGTTGAGATGAAGCACGCGGCAACTTGATCAAGCTATCGGATGCCATTAGTGAAATCATAAGAAATAATTAACAGATTACAGTCTAAATAAATTATACTACCTTAATCTATCGGCTGATTTTCTATTTCAGTTGGCTTTCACCCTATCAAACTCTATACCACCCACCATATCACTTATTACTACACAGAAACATGACTCGAATCCATTTGCTTTTTCAATCTGAACGGCCAAGTCGTTCAATCCATTAATATGCGATTTAAGAATCCTCGTCACCTCGCTCGCAATGTCCTGAGTGTCGGCATCTGCAGTGGCCTGCACGTGGACATTACCGGCAAAGCATTCACCGTCGCTGGGCCAGAATTTGGCAAGCGAATATGATGTCACTCCAGAAACATGCAGAACCTGTAAATCATCATATCAAAAAGTTGATTGCGAATTGTAGAATCTTGTTATTGTTGATATCGAGATGTAAGCAACAGGTTATCTCAAAGACATTACCTCCTGAAGAGCAATATCAATGTTTCCTATCATATCATCAGAGATAATAAGCATAAGCACACCAGTAGAATGTCTCAATAGAGGGATAACGCTCATGAATATGAGACCAGCGATGAAAATGGATGCAATAGGATCAAATCCAGTCCAGCCAAAATGTTCAATGAGTATCGTAGAGACAATTACTCCGATTGATCCCAGGGCATCGGCGAGAACGTGAAGATAGATGCCTGTAGCAGTCAATGAGATCAGTGATATGAGACAAAACAAACAAAATTTTAATTGTTTAGATCACCTTCAAGATTAGCATTATCGCCGTGTTCGTGTTGGTGAGGATGCTGATGATGTTCATGCCAGTGCTCCTTATGATTAAAATTGGTTGGTGTATATGCTTGATAAGCGTGATTGTGACTGTGTGAGAGACTCATTTCGTGTTCATGCCCGTGTTCGTATCGCTGGTCATGACTGTGACCATGATCATGTTTGTGTCTGTGTTCATGCCCGTGTCCGTGTCCGTGTCCATGTGCGTGTCCATGTCCGTGTCCGTGTCCATGTCCATGATTGAATACAAAAACACCAACAAGATTAACAACAAGTCCAACAAAGCTCACTAAAAGTAGTCTGTCGGTATTCATCTCTGGTGGATTAAAGAGTCTTTGGATAGCCTCAAATAAAATAAACACCGAGATCAAAACAAGAAATATTCCATTTATGAAACCCGACAATGTCTCGACACGTTCATATCTGAAAATAGAAACAATCTCTATTGTTAGCTCCAAGTTTTAGCATTGCAGAATACAAACGTCTTGCATACCCATATGTAAACTTGTTATTCGCTGGCCATTTACTCATTATAGCAGCGAACAATCCCACGCCCAATGCCATACAATCAAAAAACATATGTATTGCTAATGGAAGAGCATTTGTCTGTGAATTTTTAATGAAAACAAAAGACATCAAACAGCCATACTGTACTTACAATCTGATATCAGGCCTAAACTGTTTGTCGATATGCCGTATATCATTTGGACGAACATATAACTCATGTTTAATAGAAGAAAGTAGAAGATCTGCCTTGAATCATTATTACCTAATATAACTCTTAAATAACTTCCACCGCTCATCCATGATGCAGACCCTTCAAGTAATCCAATTCTATTACTTGATGGTCCATGTAGTGGCAACATTGTAAATGGATTGAAATGTTTGTAAATTTACTGACAATTAATAACCAATCATCATATGGCGCAGTCTGTTAAACGTATGTGTTTATTCCAAAAAAGCAAGGGGTGCACATAAATTCGAAATTTGTTATTGTGTCTTTGGAAATGATCGACAAAAAATTTCGGAACATCCATTTCTGTCGGGATGCCATTTTAAAGTAGCAGTCATTTTTGGCAGCCTCACTAGGAATATTTTCTGTTTCGTGGTGTTGCTCGCTAAGTACGTACAGCAGAGGTGTGATATATACACACTTCTTCATAATCAAATACTGCTTTAGTCTTACACGCGCTACGAAATATTATTGTGAGCAACCACAATTGCGACCTATCTCCAAGAAAAGTATTGCTTTTTATTCGGTTGAACTATTGTCATTATCATTCTTCATATCGTCGGGTCAACAATCGCAGAAGAGTAATCGATCGCTGAATTGAGATTTAACTATTTTCAAACGGAGCTGTAGCTTTTAAATACAATGGCAGTTAGTGACCTGTAAACTAGGCTTTAACGACTCACGACCTTGTCGATCGACAGACACTAATAATAAATGAATCTGCTGCTAAATAATCAATATAATATGATATGACAATGCAATCCCCCCCACAAGATAACATTTAAAAATTCACCAGAGCGATTGGTCGCTCTAGGGAAATTTATGTTACATATCATTAATTCTCCTTTTTGCAGGTAGAGATTTTTTTTAAGATTGAGAATGCAATGCCTTTTCCCTCGTATAATTTGCGGATTTGAATGCCCACCAAGTTAAATAAAAAATAACCCTTTACCTATACTCGACGTGATTGATCAATTGAATGCTCATTATTAACTAGAACACCTAACCTGTTAACGTCCTAAATATCGAATTATTATTATGTTATCTTTACTCATATTAATTCCTACGATGAAAAAAGTAAGACTATAGCACATACTTAAGGCTTTGCTCAATAGCATCAAGGTTCAAAATCTGTAATTGTAACAAACTCATCGGAAAGTTTTCTTTTTATATAAAGTCAAGTCTTATTCCCATGTGAAATGTTAACTTGCGACTACTGCTTGCTCATATTTAATAAAACCGTACGAACGTAGCGTTTCCAACTAGAATTATGTATCTATGTATTACGCCCGTTAAAGACATTAATATAATCAAGTCTTGAGCTTTTTTAACAGACTTTGTGGAGGAGCTTTAATCTTTTATTAATCATTAGAAACTATAACTTTTAACTTTTAGAATAAAAATATTTAAAACTCAAGTTATATAGACTGGTTTAAAACACTTTACAAGCGGGAACGCGTTTTTTCTGTTCATGTGCCATGTGCATTCTTCACGTGTTCACTAGATGGTAAAACATGATTGGCCGAGGAAAAAATCGCATCGAATTGAGTTGTATTTACGCAAAGATTGAATCATTAGCATTCCTTCCTCTCTTCAACTTACCGCTCTTGTCATCTGATTAAAAGATGGTGAGTTTAGAAAGGTATTATCTATAATCAAGCAGCTTCCGTTGGGTTTAATTTTAGATGGATGGATGGGATAGATGGCTGAGAAATTGACCGCAAAGAAGGTCGAACTCGTGGAAATTGGGGAGTTGAAGGAGCAGGTTTCTGCAAGGATCACTTATCCTCAGGCAACAGATCGTGTATACCACAACACATAAACCACGCATAAAGCACATTGCCATAATACTGCTTTAGTACTCGCGGGTGTTACCGAATAATATTGCGTGATTAGGAACCATGGCTCGTTCCCGATCGCTCTCCTAATTACCATACTACTTAATACTAAGTCGGTTTGTCTTTATCTCTCATTTCTTTGCTACTGCTCTATCAGTCTGCGGTTCCTAGGCCTCCGGTTACTGTCTACTCGGAATCCAGCGGCAAGAGCGTTGCCACGCATGCGCTCCCTGCCGTATTTGATGCGCCCATTCGGCCTGATATTGTAAAGTTTGTTCATGCAAACATCTCCAAGAGCAACCGTCAGCCATATGCTGTATCCGCAAAAGCTGGCCATCAGACATCTGCCGAATCTTGGGGAACAGGACGTGCTGTTGCTCGTATTCCGCGCGTTTCTGGCGGTGGTACTCATCGCGCTGGGCAGGTAAGCTTTATAAGGTTTTGATAATTTATCATGCTACAGATGCTACAGGTGCTGCAGATGCTACTGCATCAAATATCGCATGTCGCAGAACCATTATTCACTGCTCACTTGCTTAATCAAATACTGTACTCGTAGGGTGCCTTTGGTAACATGTGTCGTGGTGGCCGCATGTTTGCTCCAACAAAAATTTGGCGTAAATGGCATGTGAAAACCAACCTAAACCAAAAGCGTTTTGCAACCGTTTCTGCTCTCGCTGCTTCTGCATCCCCAGCTTTGGTCCTTGCGCGCGGACACAGAATCGCAAGCGTTCCCGAAATTCCCTTGGTAGTCGGTGATGGTATCGAATCATTGGCCAAGACTAAAGCCGCCGTTGCTGTTCTTAAAGCTATCAACGCTTATCGCGATATCGTAAAAGTATCAAACTCGCGAAAGTTACGAGCCGGCAAAGGAAAGATGCGTAACAGACGACATCGTCAGCGACGGGGGCCTTTGATTGTTTATAATCAAGATGGTGGCATTGTGAAGGCATTTAGGAATATTCCTGGTGTTGAATTGGTTAATGTGAGGCATTTAAATTTGTTACAACTGGCACCCGGTGGGCATTTGGGACGATTTGTTATTTGGTCTTCTTCTGCTTTTGCGCTATTGGATGAATTATTTGGAACTTTTACGAAAGGTGCATCTCTGAAGAAGGATTACTAGTAAGTTGAAGCGTACTGACTAGCTACAGTCATCAAGTAGACAAGTGTGCACATTCTTACTAACTGACTTTTGATTTAGTCTCCCATCGCATATTATCACCAATTCAGATGTAACCTCAATCATAAACAGCAAGGAAGTCCAGTCTGTACTTCGACCTGCTGGCGAAAAACACCAAAAACGACCTTTTACACAAAAGAAAAACCCTCTTCGAAATGTGGGTGTTCTTATCCGCCTTAACCCCTATGCCAAAGTGTTGCGTCGAGCTGAGATTCTGACCGCTGAGAGGCGTAAAGCTGGAAAGATTAAAAAGAAGAAGAAAGTAACCAAGAAAACTACTAGTGCATCCAAAGAGTACGTTTTTCTTATGTTTGGCTCCTGTTTTGTTGTCAGTTGGATGATAGCTAATGGAAATATGTTGCTTCTAGGTTCATCAAGGTTCTCACAGCCGAATAATCAAGAATTGTCTTTAAGTTAACCGAACAAGTCTACGCAAAATAAAAAGGGCGCGGTTTGTGATTACATATATTGTGTGCTCACTGTCAAGATGAGTATTCATCTTGGGAATGCGTTTATTTATTCTTTGATGAGTGCAGAACATTATTCACATACACACGAATGGACTATTCCTCTCTATCGGTATCAATACTTCGAACTTGTCCTTGCACAACCGGATGTCTTTTCAAGTATTCAACAATACTCATTTGTTTTATATCACCGAGGAATGTTGAATCGCTAGTATAGAAGCCTTTCCATGCCCACGCTCTCTGCATATTATTAAGAGGCAGCAGATATGCGCTTGCATCGCCGTATATATTTGCTGTATAGGAAACAAAATAAATAATATTGGGAGTAAGTTTAAAGAAAACCAGTAATGCATATACCATACTTGTGGGGTCGGATAGCTCGACTTTCACAGTCATTGGCCCGATCATATAACTATCTTCCAATATCAAATGCTTTGATTCTTCATAATCTTTATATTGGACAAAGCCTATGCGCTGATACTTTGTTGTGTCCGCTTCCTAGCACCGGGTGAAAAGTTATTTCTGTAAGTCGGCGCGATGCATTCAATTTTTCTCGAAACTCGACAAGGCGCACACACACAACAACTCACATACCCTTCTTATGTGAAAATGCTCGATACTACCGTATGCTTTAAGAAAGTCGTAGATTTTTTTCCCATCATAAAAAGTTTTTATTTGTGGCCATACTCGAAAGTATACTCGAAGCGACTGAGTCATGTTCTCCGGCCCTCGTTTTCAAGCGGGAACGAAATTTTTTCTGCTGACCGGGTCCAATCACGAGGTTTTGTGTGAGATAAATGTCGTCTGTTGCACATGTAAAAAATGACAAACTTGAGCGACAATGTAAATGTGGCGTCATGTGATTGTCTGCGTAATTAAAGGTTTTCCTGTTTTCTAGACCAACTCGACCACATTGATTCCTCAAACTACTTTACCGATACTTGTATGTGTGGCCAGCATCTCACCTGGGAAACTATTATAAAACAGTTCATTTCTGACACTGTCTAAGTTTTAATCCTTTGGGTATTCTGGATTTCTTTAAAAAGCAACGTATTGTAAATATAATTGAAAGCATAATAAACTTTGTACAGTAGACAATTATCGGTTTGATCCATTTTTTATTAATAACGTATAATTGATAATAATCATAGGGATGGCTTAAAGTCTCTATTCGTAATGAGATTACGAAAATAACGAAAGCGTAAACATTTATAGTGTCACGGGATTTTAAAGAAATACGTTATTTACTATTTACTCCTTTTTTATTTTTACTTCCTAAATAATAATAATAACCATACCAAAACATGCCTTCAGTAACTGCATACGCACTTATCTCTATACTCTTTACAATCGACTATTTTCTAGGGTTTCAGTCCCTGATTATGCCTAACTGGTATGTTTGGACATATTGAGAATAGGGCTAGTAGTCGATAGGGGTGATTTTTGACAAAAGTTATATCAAAGTCTATCCTACGTTAATGTACATTCGACGACTTTACTGATGTATGCACTTTATGTAGGCTCGTCTATGTCTCTCGCTTTCCCCTCAAGTTAGAGATACACTATGGGCTGTTCAAAGTAGGGCCTGTGTTCTTTTTCTCTATCGTTTATCCCCTCTCTAAATATCCTCCAATTTTACCATTTGTCTATATAGAAATGCTCTTCTGTACAAGGTTGTTATCCATTCCCCTCACCCGAGAGAAACGATTGCGACGAAGAATGGTTCTGTGAACTATGGAACGCAGCTCGTTTCGCCGTTTTGTTTGCTGCTTTCGTTGGAGCCGTCACCTGGCTTGCTCTTGTGGTAGTAATGTTGGGTGGCCGAGGAAAAAGAGAGAGAATGTGGGGTAGTATTGCTGCCTGGCTTATGTTTCATGGTGAGTTGATGTGATGTGACGAACCCATTATCAATGTTCATATGTGATGCTCTACTTACACCTTATTTTCTTGAATTCTAGCTTTCTTCCAATTCACAGCTGTCGGTTTGATTGCATACTTGTTCAACAATTCTGACCGATTCTATTTTGGTTACAAATATGACATGTCATTTATATTTGCAACGATCTCGGGATCTCTTAGCGTAATGTTATCAATATCTTTAGTTCTTAACGGTGTCTTAGTCCCATCTAGATATGATTACTTGGATTGATTACTTAGAATGTAATATAAGGAAGAACATTCCATTAATGTAAATTAAGTGGGGTCGCACTTTGGTCTATTAATGGCGTATTAGAGATATATCGTTTTAAACGAATACACGCTATCGTTCACTATTATGATTCTTTTATTAGAAAACTATATATTATTCATTAAAATACCATACTGTATTCATTGGAATAATATGAAATGGTTCAGCTTTTCTTTCTTTTAAGTTTAAAGACTTTATCGGCAACATTGTTTTGAAATTGGTTTGTTTGCAATCAATCCTGAACATGCTCAAAAGGTTTCCAATTCGCATTCATCAACTGTAATATTGTTCTCATTTTCGCTTCTTTGCCACCGTGGTTCCTCAACAAGATTATCACCTTTCCAGGTCGACCCATTCTTCCCGTTCGTCCAGCCATGTGCAAATAATTCCATGGAGCAGGTGGCCCCCCAAGTATAAAGACATGTGATACTGAAGGTATGTCAACACCACGTGTAAAGCTCTGCGTCGCAACATATAATACTCTTCGATTAGGTGATGGCGAGAAACCACCAGCCAACGAACTAAAAGATGATACCAACTCTGTCGCAGGCAATCCGAAAGATCTAAGTCGAGAAATCAGATGCGGTATATTCGTACCGTCACCAATAAAGAGAATCCCTCTTTCCACTTGTTCGGCCTCAAAAGCTCCCGCTACGCTATCGAGCATACGGTCGTCGTCATCACCAAAGTCAATCTCGTCATTGGCGTCGTAAGATGTGTCATTTTCCGGTGTCTGGTTTTCTGTTATCCAACTCGTCTTTTCCATTCGAATATTTCTAATATCCTGAGCTCCGACTATCAAGCAGTGATGAACGATACTATCGGGTGCTTTATGACCTTTTGATATGTCAACAAATACAGGATCTACTGCATATCCATTGTCCTTCATGAAAAAGTATCGAAGTGAACGATTCACCGTCGCAGATAATACTACCAACTGTGGCTTATATTGCAAGCTGCCTGCTACCTCAAAGACATGGTGAAGCACCTCTTCTCCCGGAGGGATATGCTTTGATCTTGCATATATCTCCTGAAGTGTTGCATACTTCTTGGGTAATTGAAGCAAATGATCGGCCTCATCAAGAGACAGTGTACGCAAGTCTCTCAAATCTATGTCCCTGCCTTTTATTAGTTCGTGTAGTCTCGTAGCAGTACCTACTAGTAGATGTGGTGGTGTCTCCGATAAAGATTTCAATAACTCATTGTTATTAATATCCTGACCTCTGTAAACAGTCTGGACCACCGCAGCAAGCGATGGAAAAGTCTCACTTGGTAATAATCGGCGAACCCATCCTTCTATTTGCATTGCCACCTCCCGAGATGGGACCACGAGGAGACTAGTTATGCATGGTTGTCCCTAAAAGCAAAGGGTAATCTTAGCAGGATCCGAGTGATTAATAAACCGAATAAAAATTATTTACCTTACCTTTTTCCCTTTATCGATTCTGTGAGCGCGTTTGCTGTTTAATAGAGCCAGCGTTAAACCGAAAGTTTTACCAGATCCAGTGACGTCTCTTATGAATACATCGTTTCCATTGAGTATTGGGGGGATCGACTCTTGTTGACATAATGTCGGTTTCGTGATGCAGAAATTCTCTTTCAAAGCTTGGCAAATCGGCAATCTTATTCCTAGAGACTTAATAGATTGTGAGATTGCTAAAGTTGGCAAACAATTCCAGATGTTTTATATTTCATACCGCAAAATCCGGTGCCGTCGGGCCTTCAAGCGGTATTTCTACGGTAGTCGACAATCGCCGTGCGAAAAGCCGAATATTTGAACTGTAGCAGCAAGTATCAGCAATGTTCTAGCATTATTTTCAGACAGGATGGTTCTGGTTGGATCGATACCTTCTCTGGCAAACTTTATAGAATCGCTGATGCGTTAGCTGTACGGTGCGTTTAGGTGTAATCCCAACTAATTCGAGAAGTAGATCCATCAGAAAATTTTTGTGCCAAGTGCGAAACCCTTTTTGGGAGCATGAAAATTTACCTTTAATCACGTGTTCGACATAAAATATTAATATGGTTATCATTATTATACGGAATAAAGTAACTTGATGTTTTGCAGCTGGCTGCTCACAGAATGATCATTTCAATCTGGTCTCTTTGATAACAAGAATTCTTGGTCTCCTTTTCGAGCGCAGGCTTAACATGTTTGTGTTTAATAAATGTCTTTGTAAAATCAATTCCACGATAGGAACTGTGAGTGAATTCGAGGACAATTGATTAGTCATCGACGCAGCGAGTCGTAAGTGTAAAAGCCTAGTATTTCAAAGGTCACTGACTGTAAACATTGAACATTAGTAAAGTAGTCAAATTCCTAGTGCCAATTATTGTCACATACGTATAGACCTGCGCCATGATTCCCCCCTCTAATATTAACCTAACCTCATCAAGTCTTTTGTTCTTCGCGAACCCCCAGCGGGGTACACTGTGTTTTCGGTTATATATTTTTTGAGTTCTTTTAAATCTTTTTTCTCTTTTTCATTTCTTTGGAAACTTGCTTTGGTAAGGCAAACTAGGTATGCCTTCCAAGGTTGATTAACTGATTTATTAATTTTTTTCTCACCCAACGATAAACGTGTAATGACAAGGGGGTATATGGTGTACACTTGCATAGTCTACCTACTTGTGCGTATGTTAGATTGACTTCGCTTGAGATAACAGACGAGACACATGATTTATATTATGCCGAGGTAAACTATTTACTTATACGTCATGTTTATTGAATAGTTTAACTAATTATCAACTTATTATTATGTATTATTTCCACTAGTTATGTGATGAGCATCCAGATATCCTTACCACGGATGTTTGGGTTACCATCGGATTCACATACAAAGCAAGTATGCGAAAGTATTATCTAATAAAAGAAAAGGATAAGTGGAGATTATGTTTGGCATGTACACGTCGGTTAGAACCTAAGATAAATGCATTCTGTTATAAATGTAAAGCACCACAACCTGTCGATTGGACTATGGGCAACAAATCATTGGATTCATTTATTATGGAGTCGTGGAGTAATATGACAAGTAGATATGATGCATATATACAATGGATTGAATACTCACTATTGACAAACATACACGAGATGACATCATTACGCCATGGATGCACACATATAGCAGAATGGACAACAAATGAATTGATACGTGTGACACTCAAAAAGATAGTTGACGAAGGGGACAATCAGTCATTTGATTTTCATCAGGTAAATTATTTCACGTGTAAAATGCAAATAGTATTTTTTAACGTATGTATCACATATTAATATTATTGTTGTAACGATTGTATTATGTATTTGTTTACTCAAATAGCTAACCAAGGAATATCCCGAGATATTAACGCCAGATAATATTTGGATAATTGGGATTACTCAGGAGCCATCTACTTGGGAATATTATTTAGTTTTCTACCATGAAATACGTCAGATATTGGACAGGATTATACAACTTAATGATGATGTCGAATACATGCAGTATGGCGACTTTTACGAACTCAATGAGATCGGATCTGGTGGTTACGGAACAGTTTATACTGCCAAATACAAAAAGTATTCAGAAGTAAGGAATATGAAACAAACTGTTGTACTCAAACGGTTTAAGAGTTTTGATGAAATGCCGGAATTATTTATTTCCGAGGTAATAGTAAGCAATAATTGGTAAAGTGTTAATTAAAGTAATATTTAATCTGACTCTGTATTTATTTTTATCCAATAGTTCAGAAACTATGCCAAGTGCACACATTATTATTATCATTCTTTCCTTTTTCTTTATGGAGTCACACAAGACCCAGAAACGAAAGAGTACATTATTGTTATGCAATATGCTAACAATGGTAGTCTTTTGTCTTATTTGGATCAAAACATAAACAAGCTGACGTGGAAGATGAAATTAGCATATTTGAGGGATATTGCACGATATCTGGAAAGTATTCATGATGCGCGTTTAGTGCATTGTGATCTTCATGGCGGAAACATAGTTATGCATGACTATGATGGCGATGGTCGTAATAGGACATCATTCATATGCGATTTTGGTCTCTCACGATCAGTGAATTCACGCGAGTCAAATCCAACCATTCGAGGCGTTTTACCCTTTATTGCACCGGAAGTCTTCCATACCCGCAAATTTACTCAGAAATCAGATGTGTATTCTTTTGGTATCATTATGTATTTGATTGCTACTGGTGAACCACCTTTTAGAGACAGGCAGTTCGATAGAGATTTAATATGCGACATTATGAGCGGACTACGACCATCGATGCCTGATTCCGCACCAGAGGAATACACGAAACTTGCCGAGCAGTGTTGTGATGCTGATCCTGATAAGCGTCCATATGCAGGCACACTTTTTAATGATATTTTCAGCCTTGTTGGGGAGGTGTGTGAGGACAATTCTGATGACAACACATGGAATGCCGTTTATCATAATGATGTAAAACCCTTATCTATTATCACGTCTCGAGAAGGAGAGTAAATATTCTAGTACGCTCTTACCTACTGGAGGTCGCCTAAACCAATAAATAGTTCTAATCAGTTACCTCCCTTGGTCAGCTTACCAAATTTACGAGCAGAGTTAGGGGAGGTTGACGGTTCATATAAACGAAGTCAATTGCAATATCAACATTGTCCACTCACTCTTTTTGAACTCATACAAACTATAAATAAACCGTGATTTTTATTAATATTAAGTGTTATCACTAAAAAATTTGGAATATTACTTAGTGATACAAACCTTAATTCTACAGATTACTAACATATTAATATACACTTCGTAATTGGCAATGGGAAGTACTATACACGTATTCACAGTGGTTATTGCTAAATAAAATAAATATTTGCTATAGCAATTGTTCAAGAAGACCTGAACATGAACAGGTCCGGTTCGACAACCAACAGTTACTTAATTTTTTTGTTAATTTAACCAAAATTGAAGTAATTCTGTCCTGTAATTCTCCAGATTGTTTATTTGGTGTGCTATGAATAAATTTCATTGAAAGACTGAAGTTTACTCAATACGCATAGGTGGCGTTGTCTCCTGTATCGGGAATATGTATGATAAAGGCTTAATTACTAAATGAGATATTAATCCTAGCGAGAAAAACCCTCGTATCCGCTAATGCCACACTTACAAATTATATAAATACCTATATGTGCTTGGATCGCATCTAGGCAAGAATGAACAAAAGACTTGAAGCGGCTGTTAAATTAATATCAGTAGAGAAAAGAAATGACATGGAGCCAACTACGCGAGCAAAAACTTACAGATATTAAAATTTTAGCCTATACGTATATACCTACAACACATACAATGCATTTGCAAATTGTGTGATATAACTGTCGTGCCAATTATCGGCACTAGGAATTTGGCTTCTCCTACTAACGGTTAAATCTCGGTTTACAGTTTAGTGACCTTTAAAACACTAGGCTTTTACACTTACGGCTCACTGCGGCGATGAGCGACACTAATCCTGGGTGATATTAATTGTCCTCGAGTTCACTTACGGTTCCTATCGTGGGATTAGTTCGATAGTCTCCCGGCTGTGTTTTCGATTATAAAAAGATAATTGATTAGGTAACTCGGTTAACATTTCGGACTGGGCTAGGCAAACCATGGACTTCGGCATAATTTAAGAGAAAATTTTTCACTGTGGTAGTTATCGATTTGTTTTCCACTTGGGCATTCTTTGGTATTACCATGGAGCCGTGAGAGAAGACCATTATTTAGCAGATAATCTCGTACAATTCCCAGCATATTTAAATACAGTGTGTAACACAAGTTTTTGGAATTTTTTATTTACTCATTTCTGAAAGATTTTTAGGCATGCGCATTTCTACATTTCTTTTAACAATTGCCCAAAGATTTTCAATTGGGTTTAAGT